AAAGTTCAAATAATGTCACCAGGACCTGTTTCCCAAATATTCTTCCTCTTAGTGTTAACTTCATCGTCAGGCTGGTTCCCTTCCTCCTAGCAGAATGGCTACAGTAGTCCCAACTTCACATTTGCAGGTACTAAGTCCTGAAGTGAGTCTCTTTCAGGAGACCTCTTAGAAGCTTTATTTCTCCCAGAAGCCCCAGCAAATGTCTCCTCAGATGTCATTGGCTTTGATCAGATGTATTCATTAATGAAATCATCACTAAAGCCATAGAGATAGAATATGTTGACTGGCCTACACCAATCTGGGTTCTCTCTTAGGGCTGGGTTTGGGATCGATGCTACACAATGACATAGCTTGAGAGTGAGGGAGAAAGGCAGTGATTTACCAGAAGAAAATAATTGTATCATTTTGCCAAAAGAAGGGTGAATGAATACCAGACAAGAAAAAAACAAAACAAAATGTCCACCAGAGTATCAGAACATATTTTATTTCATATTAGTTTGTTATATGTAAGTAGGCAGAGTTAGATTGTACTCATCACAAAAAGCTATATTGTGCTCATCACAAAGATAGTCATTTCCTGTAAATTCTTTGACTTCACCTCATTTTTCATTAATGCACTTCCAAGAACAGTTGCACAATAGAAGCTCTTTCTACCAGACACCACTTAAATGAATTACCTAATTAGTACCGTCCATCGCTTCTAAAAAAGACACTCGGATGCCCAATGCATGCTGAGCCTTCAGGTTAATTCTTTGAAACATCCTCACATATTACTGCTCCCATATGTTGAGTCAGTGCTAGTTCACAAACCTATTTGCTGGAGTTGTTGTTTAACTACATACTTAATTAAACCTTGCATTACATCATAAACTGTGAATAAAGGAAATGTCAAAGTTCTTTCTTAATTGAATTAAATTGAATGCTTTAGAAAGGTTTAATTAAGGCAAAGTGATGAAAATAAAAAGACCTGCTATGAATTGGATATGGATGAGACTACTGTAAAAAATTGATGATAGTTATGTCTTAAAGTCCAGAGGATTGTGCATTGAGAGCACTGTATATGATTTTAAGTTCTTAACCCACTTTATATATATATAAACACTTTTTTAAATTTTTTTATTTTATTGATTTTTTACAGAGAGGAAGGGAGAGGGATAGAGAGTTAGAAACATCGATGAGAGAGAGAGACATCGATCAGCTGCCCCTTGCACACCCCCTACTGGGGATGTGCCCACAACCAGGGCACATGCTCCTGACCGGAATTGAACCTGGGACCTTTCAGTCCGCAGGCTGACTCTCTATCCACTGAGCCAAACCGGTTTCAGCTCTTAACCCTCTTTAAAGAAGTCAAAACTGAAAAACATAGTTGATATACTGTTGATGTGGTTTATGGAAAAAGGAGGGATGCTGAACTCCAAACAGATGACTCATATTCAAAGCAAAGGTCTTACCCTACATCAAAAGATTAGCAAATGAATACATGTTAATGTAAGTTAAAGTGTTTAAGATACAAATGTATATGTGTGATAAAAGCTTTAACTTAAACAGAGAAGTTAATGAGCCAAGAGAATTGGAATTAATTTTGGTAATTAGGGGGTAAGAAGTGGATAGTTTAGAAGGCTAAAGAGGATGGAGGCCAGATTATAGGAGAGTAAGGTGAAAAATAAAACAGAAAAATCAAGAAGCTTAATAGAAATGTTATTAATAACAATAAGATACAACATCTGAGCGCTTATTATATGTAAACACTATTCTAGATATTCTCCATACACTTTAAAAATTTTTTTTTTATTTCAAAGAGGAAGAGAGAGAGAAACATCAATGATGAGAGAATTATTGATCTGCTGCCTCCTGCATGACCCTAACTGAGGATCAAGCACTGAACCCAGGCATGTGCCCTTGACCAGAATCAAACCTGGGAACCTTCAATCCACAGGTTGACTCTCTATCCACTGAAGTCAATAGAAATATATTTTTTAAAAGAAAAAAAAAAAAGAAGCAATGGTTTAAGCAATTAAGTTTCAAGAAGGAAACAGTGCTTCCACTTTCTGCTTCAGTTGGGACATAAATTAGTAAAAACAGAAAAGTCCTCATTAGATTTGGAAACAGAGAGGTCTGGTTATAGCATAAAAACAGTCTTAGTGGCATGATGGGGATGGTTTCTTGATTGGATTTGTTTAAGGAGAAGTTATGAGGTAGGAATTGAAAGTAGCTTCTAGGTACAGCTAACTCTTTCAGAAGTTTTTCCTGTCAAGGGGAGCTGAGAAATGGGATAGGATAGGTGTTAAGGAACTTTTTGTAGTTGTTGTTAAAATAGAAACTTGAATATGTTGTACACAGATGGAAATGACCGAGTAGAACAGGAGAAATTGATTAAATTGGAGCAAGAAAGGGTAATTGGAGGAGCAAAGCTCATGAGGAGAGAGGATAAAGGATGCAGAACACAAATGGACGGGTTGTCTTTAATAGTAAGTAGTAAACCACTTCACGATAACAAGGAACTGAGAAGCCAGGGTGGGTGTTGGGTGGAAAATGTGGAAAATATGAATAAGTGGCTGAGAAGTGACAAGAATAGTGGAAGAAATTAAGACAGTGAGCCATGAGCAAATGAAGAGGGCATTACCAAGGATCTTAATGTAGTGCCAGTTAGCATTAACTTTAAAAGAACTTGGATTTTTGAACGAGGAAGGAAGAAAGATTTGGAGGCAACATGAGGAGCAGGTTCTAAGATAAGCATACCTCCAAAACCGGTTTGGCTCAGTGGATAGAGTGTTGGCCTGCGGACTGAAAAGTCCCAGGTTTAATTCCGGTCAAGGGCATGTACCTTGGTTGCGGGCACATCCCCAGAAGGGGGTGTGTAGGAGGCAGCTGATAGATGTTTCTAACTCTTTATCCCTCTCCCTTCCTCTCTGTGAAAAATCAATAAAATATATTTTAAAAAATAAGATAAGAATACCTATGATAGGGAAAATGCTCTTTGTACTTGATAAGTTGCTAGGGAGGTAGTTTTGCTAGGTGACAGACCAGTTTTCAGTTGAAACAGGAAGTTGATGAGAACATTTAGAGAAGAAGTAAGAATAAAAGGGAAATGACTGAAAACAAATGTTGAAATCTAAAGTGCAGAATGAAATGCTTAGGATGGTTGGGGTAATGAAAGTAGAGGGTGGCATGGAGATACTAATTAGGGAAATGATAGATGATCTGGAGCTACTGGTTGTGATTGAGTGAAAAGGATTATAATGGCTGGAACCAGTTTGGCTCAATGGATAGAGCGTTGGCTTGGGGACTGAAGGGACCCGGGTTCGATTCCAGTCAAGGGCATGTACCTTGGTTGTGGGCATATTCCCAGTGGGGGGTGTGCAAGAGGCAGCTAATCGATGACTCTCTCTCATACTCTTCTAACTCTCTATCTCTCTCCCTTCTTCTCTGTACAAAATCAATAAAATATTTAAAAAAAGGATTATAATGATGAAATTATCTTCCTGTAAGCTCTTGAGGGCAAGGGAAGGTGGGTAAATTGGTTAAGATGAGTAATATAGAGCTATACAACACAAACTGTTCTCTCTTGCAAGTCTTGTGGTATGGAGGCTAATGGATAAAATTGCTAATATTTCATTTAGCATTTTTGTATTTGTAATTAATTATAAAATACCAGAGGCCTGGTGCAAGAAATTTGTTCACAGCAGGGGAGGGGGAGTAGTCCCTGAGCTCGGTCTGCACCTTCTCCAATCTGGAACACCTAAGGGATGTCCAACTGCCCTATCCCAAGGGAGAGATAGAAACATTTATGATGAAAGAGAATCATTGATGGGCTGCCTTTTGCATGTGCCCTGACCAGGGCCTGGGTGGAGAGGAGCCTGCAACCGAGGTATATGCCCTTGACCAGAATCAAACCTGGGATCCTCTGGTCAGCAGGCCAACACTCTATCTATTGAGCTAACCGGCTAAGGCTAAATGTGTTATTGAGGAAGGGAGAGAGAACGATAGAAACCCTACATGATGGTAGAAATATCCTGAGTTTCCTCCAGAACTTACAAACAGGATTGCGTCCCTCAAATCCCAGTTACACACACACCACCCAAATCAAGTTTAAGAGAAACACTTTAAAAAAAAAAAAGAAGTTGATTTTTAGAGAGGGGTGGAGGAGAAACGTAGAAGACATAAAAGTGCAACATCTACCCACGGGCTGCCTCCTGGATGCTCCCACTAGGGCAGCAACCCGGGCATATGCCTTTGACCGGAATGGAACCCGCAACCGCCTGGCACCCGGGAGACACCCAGCCTACTGAGTCACACTGGCCAGGACAAGAATGACACACGTCTTCCAGCCTGCTCGCAAACGGTCTAACGAATTGGGATTTCCCGCCATTTCACTAAAAGGATTGGAAGGGCTTTCCCCTAGATTCGTGGGAGGCCCGGGCGAACGCGGCTTTCCCCGCAAGGCGAGCGGCCGAGCGGCGGAGCGCCAAGGTCAGCAGGCTGCATTACGATCTCGGGGACAGAGCCACCAGGTGACAGGTCACATTGCCCGAGTGCTCGGCTTTTGCCGATAAGTTGGGAGGGCGAAGACGCCCACCGTAAAGGGAAAACCAAGCGCCTAGTGTGCAACCCCGCGCCCGCGCTGGAAATAGGGAGCGCGGCCGCTGAAGGGCGGAGCCAGGGCTGGGGGCGGAGGCCCGGCTCGCTCCAACTCGAGCCCTGATTGGCCGAGCCCTGAGGGTCGCGTGACGACAGCTCGGGAGAACGTCCGATTTGTGTGGTGGGCGCGGGCGGGCGGGGGAGGCGCACTGCGCAGGCGCGGCGGCGGCTGCTCTCGGCCCAGCGCTCGCGGACAAGTCCCGGCAGCGCGCGCCCCCGCTCCCGCGCCGGGACCGCCCCCTCCCCCTTTCGGCGGCGTCGAAGGTAAACAATAGTTGGCCGGTGACCGCGGAGCGCTTCTCCCGCCGCCGGATTCGGCGGGCTGCGTGGCATCGGCGGGATCCCGGGCCGGCCGGCCGGCCATGGCGGGGCTGTACTCGCTGGGAGTGAGCGTCTTCTCCGACCAGGGCGGGAGGAAGTACATGGAGGACGTTACTCAGATCGTGGTGGAGCCCGAGCCGACCGCTGAAGAGAAGCGCTCGCCGCGGCGGTCGCTCTCGCAGCCGTCAGCGCCGGCTCTTCCCGGCGGCGGCGGCGGCGGCGGCGGCGGCGGCGAGGTCTCGGGGAAAGGCCCGGCGGCGGGAGCCCGAGAGGCTGGCGCCCCTGCCCCGGACGCGGGGGCCTCGCCGGCCCCGGGCCGTTGCTGCCGCCGCCGCTCCTCGGTGGCCTTTTTCGCCGTGTGCGACGGGCACGGCGGGCGGGAGGCGGCACAGTTCGCCCGGGAGCACTTGTGGGGCTTCATCAAGAAGCAGAAGGGGTTCACCTCGTCCGAGCCCGCCAAGGTGTGCGCTGCCATCCGCAAGGGCTTCCTCGCCTGTCACCTCGCCATGTGGAAGAAGCTGGGTAAGTTCCCTGGCTTGTTGGGGCGCCCACTTTTTTGGGTGTGTGTGTGTGTGTGTGTGTGTGTGTGTGTGTGTGTGTGTTGTGTGTGTGTGTTTTGTGTGTGTGTGTTTTGTGTGTGTGTGTGTGTTCTGTGTGTGTGTGTGTTCTGTGTGTGTGTGTGTGTGTTTCAGGCTATTTGGGGGCTTTCTGGCACCAGCCCTGCGTGGGCCCCGGGCAAAGTGCACATTGGTGGGCATGAAGACTCTGGGTCTGGTTAGCACTTTCCGGGGTGCGAGTCCGGGCCTTGAGAAAGGATTTTGCCGTCTCCCCGCAACCGCTCCTCGCCTGCTTTCCACCCACCCTCTACGGAGCCTTGGGAAGCCGTCCTCTCCCCTCCCGGCGAAAACGGTGTTTGAAACCTGACGCCAGATTTTGACCAAGAAGATCAGCTGAAGATGTAGGTTGCTCTCTGGGCCACGCGATAGAAGCGGGAGATGACAAAAATGAAGAGTTCCTGTCATCCTTTTGCCCCTGAAGGACTTGTCCCTCCCTGCCCGTTGCCTCCTCTCAGGGTGTCAGATTCTCCAGAGTGACCCCAGGTCGTGGTAGTTGGGAGAGTAAACTGTTGGCTATTTTAGGAAGGCGAAAATGTAATCATCCAGTCCGCTTGAAAAGGAATTCGGTTTCGCTTTGAGGGTCTTTTATGCGTGGGCTGCTGATGAAGAAACAAAAGCGCGGGATGCGCTGTTACATATTAAACTGTGTTCCCACGATCAGTTCTGCTAAGGGTTTTGGAAAAGTACAGTACAAGTTTTGGGGGTAGTTTGGCCTTACCAGTGGTTGTATGCTGTCAGATAACATACATTCTCAACAGCTCGGACTTCAAAGTCCTTGTGAGTTGTAATAGCTTGTCAAAGTTGCAAGAGATAAGGGGAATTGACTGTTGTGCTAACAGGAAGTAGAGACCTTCATCTCTCAAAATTCGATCTAGTTGTCGTTTTACCTAAGCTTTAAAATGTTTTCTAAAGCAACCAGTGTCTCTGTACCCAACATATCATATCATGCAGAGTAATAGTTGCTTTAACGTTGCTGTGAATGAAGGGCGTGAATCTTTTATTTTAGAGACAATATGTCATTTTTTTAAAAAAATCCTCTTGTTTTTGGTAGCATTGTTTATTTTTAGCAGAGGGCAGAGACATAGAGAAGAGTGTAAAGATTAGTCAAATACAGAACATTTTTAAAAAGATATAGTCATAGAATTATGGATGAGCTTCTTTCAGTCTGTTTTTTATTTACCTGGCTTCCTGCCAAGAATAATTTGATTGACTCATAGAACAACCAGTCGGCCTGTTGGAGGCGTTTCCCTCACAATCCCAGAGGCCCCTATTATGGATTTGTTTTGTTTTTGTGTAGGCAGAGAGCAGTGCTAAAAGCACTGCAGTATATTCCAGAAATATGTCATTATGTTGTCTGCAGTGCTACAAGGAGTGGACAGCAAGACAAGGCAGCAGAAGATTAAACACAATTATTTGAGTCCTGTTTATAGAGCAGTACACTTGAGGCAACATGAACTTGCCATATGTTTGAACTGGAAGGATAAAGTATAAACCCAGTTACTTGAACATTTTTTAATAAAGCAGGGACCATGCTGTTGGGTGTGAATGTGTATATTTATTGATGTACATTTACCTTTTGAATCAAGCTTTCAGAGCCTTATGTACCAGACAAATGTTTGCTTCATTCCACAGCTAAACCTATTCTCTATTCCCAAAACTTGAATAAAAAAAGAATATGCTGAGTATATGGAAGTTTTCACACAGAAGATGCAGATTAAAAAAAAAAAAAAAAAAAAAAGGAGTACTTTAGTCTCAAATTCATGGGTGGGTCCTCATTTTCTATAGAATAAACCACATTTTAAAATGTACAGACCAAGTCCTTTCCAATGCAACTTCAGACTCCCTATTCAGTTTTATCTCTTATACACATTTTTATCACAGTCTGCTTCTCTTTTACCACAGGGTACAGTGAAATATTCCATTTTTATTGAATTCCCTCCCTCTTCTAAAAAAAACTGAAAAATACACTTCAGTCTCTAAGTCAGTATGCTTTCTTCTGTGAAGAGTTTTGTTTCTTTTTAAATTAAACGTCCTTTATTTTTACTAATATAGTACCCATTGGGCTATAGCAATAGTTCTCATACTTTACAAAGTAGTCCCCCCTTCCAGCCTCGCACTATACCTAGTTATTACAGTACTAGAGGCCAGTGCACGAAATTTGTGCATGGGTAGAGAAGGCCTGGCTGGTGATCAGGGCCTATTGGGGCCTTCCCGCTGCCAGCTGGGGCCTCCTTTCCTGGCTGCCAGCTGCTGGCCAGGGCCTCCCTTAGTTCCACGCCACCCCCAGGCGGTCAGCACATGGCATAACGAGTGATAGAACTCCTGGTCTCCGGGTCAGACTCCTGTGGGGACACTGCATAATAGCCTTTTATGTATGTAAAATATATAAATTATTGACTATATTCCCTATGCTGTACTTTACATTCCCATGGCTATTTTGTAATACCTGTTTGTACTTCTAAATTTCTTCACCTTTTTCACCCAGCCTCCCAGCTCCCCTCCCCTCCGGCAACCATCAGTCTGTTCTCTGTTTGACTCTGTTTCAGTTTTGTTTGTTCATTTATTTTGCTATTTGTCTTTCTCAGGCTGACTTATTTCACTGAACATAATACCTTCTAGGTTCATCCATGCTGTGGCAAACTTTTGCTCAGAGAACCCTTTGTATTCTTAGTAATTGAGAACCCCAGAGAGCTTTTATGTGGGCTACATTGATAATATTCACTACAGTATATGAGAATTTAATTTGAGAAATTAAAAAAAATTACTACTTTATTAAAAAAATAAACAATATATTTTTAAGTGAATCATCACCCTTTCCCTGCAAAAATAAATATTCTCATATCCGCTTCTGCATTCAATCTTTTGTACTGCCTTGGAAGCCTTCCCTAGCTGGTTTAGCTCATTGGATAGAGCATTGGCCTGTGGACCAAAGGGTCCCAGGTTCGATTCCAGTCAAGGGCATATGCCCGGGTTGTGGGCTTGATCCCCAGTAGGGGGTGTGCAGGGGCAGCCAATCAATGATTCTCTCTCATTATTGCTATTTCTCTTTCCCTCTCCCTTTCTCTCGGAAATAAATTTAAAAATATTTTTTTTTTTTAAAAAGGAAAAGGAAGCTTCATACACATATTAGGGAAAGGAGAAATAGTTTATTCATTATTTTAGATAATTGTGAGTATTCTGTACTAGTTTTTTTTTTATATATATATATATTTTATTGATTTTGTACAGAGAGGAAGGGAGAGAGATAGAGAGTCTGAAACATCGATGAGAGAGAGTCATCCATCAGCTGCCTCTTGCACACCCCCTACTGGGGATATGCCCGCAACCAAGGTACGTGCCCTTGACTGGAATCGAACCCGGGACCTTTCAGTCCCCAAGCTGACACTCTATCCATTGAGCCAAATCAGTCCCGGCTGTACTAGTTTCTTAAGGTTAGTAAAAATGGAACCTGAAACCCTATGAATGGAACTTTTTGCCATTTTACATTAAAATCCATTGTTTTCTCTTGCAGGATTTAAAATGAAACTTACCTATGTGACATGATGTATTAGTTAATTGGAAAATATTTGGTCTCTGAATTATGCAGATCTTCTAAATATTCATGCATTTTTATATAATAGCAAAATGTCACATTTGGTAATATTGTTGGCTTCATCAGAAAAGTATATTTTTCTTTTATTTTTCAGTTACAGTTGATATTCAGTATTATTTTGTATTACTTTCAGATGTACAGCATAATGGTTAGACAATCATATGCTTTATAAAGTGGCCTCTTCCTTGCAATCTGGCACCATACCTAGTTATTACAATATTATTGACTATATTCCCTATGCTGTACTTTACATCCCCGTGACTATTTTACTACTACCAATTTGTACTTCTGAATCCCTTCACCTTTTTCCCCCAGCATCCCAATTCCGCCTCCCCTCTGGCAACCATCAGTCTGTTCTCTGTGTCTGACTTTGTTTCAGTTTTGTTTGTTCATTTATTTTGTTCTTTAGATTTCACAGATCAGTGCAATCATATGGTATTTGTCTTTTTTTGACTGACTTATTTAATACCTTCTAGGTTCATCCATGCTGTCACAAACTAAGACTTCATTCTTTGTAGTATTTCATTGTACTTTTGTACCCCAACTTTTTAATTCACTTGTCTATTGATGGGGAGTTGGGTTGCTTCCATATGTTGGCTATTTTAAGTAATGCTGCAGTGAACATGGGGGTGCATATATTCTTTCAAATTAGCATTTTGTCCTAACCAGATGGTATTCATTTTATAATTATTCATTAAAGTGTATACTTAATTTTATGGCCTTTTCAGTATGTGTGCTATGTTATATTTCACAGTTTTTTTTTTAAGTTAAAAGAAAATAAGGCATCAGTTTTGTAGGTATAGATTATAGCAGACAACTCCCTAGCGCATTCAGTTCTATAGTTTGGTTATAGACGTCATTCTGAGAAGCTCAGCCTAGCTTCAATTATTTTATGGGTTAAGTTTAGCTTTTACTACAACTTTTTCTTTATTAAAATATATTTTTTATTGATTTTAGAGAGAGAGGGACAGAGGGAAAGGGATAGAGAGATAGAAACATCGATGAGAGAGACACATCAGTCAGTCAGCTGCCTCTTGCACACCCCACACCAGGAATCTAACCTGCAACCCAGGCATGTGCCATAACTGGGAATCGAACCAGGAACCTCTTGGTTCATTGGTTGATGCTCAATCACTGAGCCACACCAGTAGGGCTAAAACATTTTCAAATAAGCTGGTATAGATTCTTTTTTCTGCAGCTAATAATTTATCATTTTTTTCTTTTATCTTTTAAAAGAAATATACTTTATTGATTTTTCACAGAGAGGAAGGGAGACGGAGAGAGAGAGTTAGAAACATTGATGAGAGAGAAACATCAATCAACTGCCTCCTGCACACCCCCCACTGGGGATGTGCTGCAACCAAGGTACATGCCCTTGACCAGAATTGAACCTGGGACCTTTCAGTTCGCAGGCTGACGCTCTACCCACTGAGCCAAACCGGTTAGGGCTTTGCAGCTAATAATTTCAAATAAAAAAATATATATATACTACCTAATAAAAAGAAAACAGCCAAGACCGGTTTGGCTCAATGGAAAGAGCGTCGGCTTGGGGACTGAAGGGACCTGGGTTCGATTCCGGTCAAGGGCATGTACCTTAGTTGCGGGCATATCCCCGGTAGGGGGTGTGCAAGAGGCAGCTGATCGATGACTCTCTCTCATCGATGTTTCTAACTCTCTATCTCTCTCACTTCCTCTCTGTACAAAATCAATAAAATATATTTAAAAAAAAAAAAAAAAAAGAAAGAAACCACATGGACCATACCTCTGCTATGCCCACAAGCCACACCCACCAGTCAATCAGGAGTGAGTATGCAAATTAACCCAACAAATATGGCAGCGGCCATGGAGTTGGAGTAAACAGGAGGCTTGGGTTTCCCCAGCAATGGAGGAAGCCAAGCTTCCTGCCTGCCCTGGCCTCTGTTCAAAGCTACAAAGTTTCATTTATAGAAGGTAAATAAATCCCAACAAAAAATGGTGGCAGCCACAGAGCTGGAGAGAGCAGGAGGCTTAAGTTGACCCTGGTGATGGAAGAAGCCAAGCTTCCTACCTGCCCTGGCTTCCGCTCAAGGCTACAAAGATTCAATTATAGACTATAAATAAATTCCAGATACTAGGGCCTCTGCTTGGGTCACCAGGGGGTGTGGCCATCCTGCAAATCACCACAGGCCCCTCAGGCTGCCCTACATCCCAAGGGATCCCCCACCCTGATACGGGTCACCCTTCAGGGCAAACCAGCCAGGCCCCACCCATGCACCAGGCCTCTATCCTATCTAATAAAAGAGTAATATGTAAATTGACCATCACTCCAACTCACAAGAAGACTGCCCTCACGTAGCCAAAGATGGCTTTCCCCAAATGGACACAAGATGGCTGCCACAAGATGGCCAGCAAGGGAGGGCAGTTGGGGGCGATTAAGCCTGCAAGGGAGAGCAGTTGGGGAGCGGGGACCAGGCCTGCAGGTTAAGGCAGTTGGAGGGGGACCAGGCCTGCAGGGGAGGGCAGTTAGGATGATCAGGCCTTCAGGGAAGGGTAGTTAGGGGTGACCAGGCCTTCAGGGAAGAGCTGTTAGGGGCAGCCAGGCCTGCATGGGAGCAGTTAGGCATCAATCAGGCTGGCAGGGGAATGGTTAAGGGATGATCAGGCTGGTAGGCAGAAGAGGTTAGGGGCAATCAAGAAGGTAGGCAGGCAAGCAATAGGGAACTAGCAGTCCTGGATTGTGAGAGGGATATCCGACTGCCTGATAGGGTTGGGCTTAAACGGGCAGTTGGACATTCCTCGAGGGGTCCCAGATTGGAGAGGGTGCAGGCTGGGCTGAGGGACACACCCCTCGTGCACCAAGCCTCTATCACAATAAAGGTATGTGAGATAATCTCCTGTAAAGGAGGGTTAAGCACATTTAGAAAACAAATACCTACAGTATGCAAGTACTTCAGCTGTTTGCAAAAAGTACCAAAAACAAAATGGAAAGGATAAAAGAAAAAGAGCTAAAAATGAAAAGATATTTAAAGACACAATATTAACATTATTTAAATCACATTTTGGTCCAAAGTATTAATATGTACAAAGATATGCTGCAAAGATCTAAAAATACTGAATGTTTTTCCTATTCATTTGAAATGTCACCTTTATTATATGCTACATTTGCCTCAAATCTATTTCTGGATTAATCTTACTCATCTATTTATGGTACTTAAATAGGGATAAAAACACCCTGTTGAAGTTCTTATGGGAACTGCAGTATATTAGTTATATATTAAGTAATTGACATCTTTAAAATTTGACATCTTTAATTAGTCTTTCTTATTTCCTACTTTACATTTGAATCTTAAATTATTTAAAAATGACAAAACTAGGAGCATATTAAAAAGATAGTATCAGGCCGAAACCGGTTTGGCTCAATGGATAGTGTTAGCTTGGGGACTGAAAGGTCCCGGGTTCGATTCCAGTCAAGGGCATGTACCTTGGTTGCGGGCATATCCCCAGTAGGGGGTGTGCAAGAGGCAGCTGATTGATGATGACTCTCTCTCCTCGATGTTTCTAACTCTCTATCTCTCTCCCTTCCTCTCTGTACAAAATCAATAAAATATATTTTTTTAAAAAAGATAGTATCAGATAGTCTATGAACTGTAACTTAAAAGTATAGTAAGAAGTATAGTATAGATGAATCATTAAAACAAAGACTAATACATTTTATAACAAAAATAACATTTTTGAATGAAGTAAAGCTATTATTATAAATTATAGAATGTTCTCTGATAAATTTAAAACTTGGGATACTTATGTACTTACCATGTACCAATTAACATACAGTCATTTAACTCTCAGGAGGTAGGTACTATCACTCTCTGTAGAAGGATACTCTGGTGCAAAGAAGTTTTACCTCAAAATCACACAGGTAATAAGTGGAGATGGTGGGATTCAAACCCAGTCAATATATCATACTGCTAAGAATTCTTACAGAATTCTAATGCCAGAGTAAGTATGAAGATATAAAAAAGCTTTTAGGAAAGCAATTTGAAAACATTATTAACAATCATCAAAAGATTATCTTTAGCCCTAATCAGTTTGGCTCAATGGATAGATCATTAGCCTGTGTACTGAAGGGTCCTGGGTTTGATTCTGGTCAAAGGCTTATATCTTGGTTATGAGATCGATTCCCAATGGGAGGGTGTGAAGGAGGCAGCTGATTAATGTTTCTCTCTCATCAATGTTTCTAACTATCTCCCTTTCTCTCTATAAAATTCAGTAAAAAAAAAAATATATATATATATATATATATATATATATATATATATATATATATCTTTTTTTTTTTTTAATTATATTTAACCAAGTAATTCAGCTTTTGAGAATTTTTTTCTTAGGAAATAATCCAAATGAAAAAAAAGGCTATGTTGCTTATATTTTAGCCTTTATTCATAACTAGAGGCCCAGTGCACAAAATCATGCACTGGAGGGGGGTATTCCCTCAGCCAGTCCTGCGCCTTCTCACAGTCTGGAACTCCTCACTTCTTACCACCCGTCTGCTTCCTGCTCCTTACTGCTCAGCTCGCTGCTCCTTAGTGCTGATGTAGAAGTGGCAAAGGCTACCCCAACTGCCACTGCACTCGCCAGCCATGAGCCTGGCTTCTGGCTGAGCGGCACTCCCCCTGTGGGAGCACACTGACCACCAGGGGGCAGCTCCTGCATTGAGCATCTGCTTCCAGGTGGTCAGTGTGCATCATAATGACCTGTTGTTCTGGTTATTCCACTGTAACAGTTGCTTATGCTTTTTTTTATTTATTTATTTTTTTTTTTAATATATTTTGTTGATTTTTTACAGGGAGGAAGAGAGAAGGATAGGGAGCTAGAAACATCCATGAGAGAGATACACCAACAAGCTGCCTCCTTCACAGCCCCCACCGGAGATATACCCGCAACTAAAGTACATGCCCTTGACCGGAATTGAACCCGGGACCCTTCATTCCGCAGGCCGACACTCTATCCACTGAGCCAAACCGGTTTCGGCCGCTTGTGCTTTTTTATATAGAGGCCCAGTGCACGAAATTTGTGCATGGGGCAGAGGGATTCTCTCAGCCCAGCCTGTACCCTCTCGCAGTCCAGGATCCCTCGAGGGATGTCTGCCTGCTGGCTTAGTCCTGCTCACCTTCAACTCTGAAATCAATAAAGATATATATATATTTTTTAAATGCTCCTGTCGAAACTGGTTTGGCTCAGTGGATAGAGCATCGGTCTGTGGACTGAAGGGCCCTGGGTTCAATTCCGGTCAAGGGCATATACATTGGTTGCAGGTGTGCAGGAGGCAGCTGATCGATGTTTCTCTCTCATAGATGTTTCTAGCTCTCTATCCCTCTTCCTTCCTCTCTGTAAAAAAATCAATAAAATATATTAAAAATTTTTCCCCCAATGCTAATTAAAATTTTATACTGCTAACTCAGCATATGATACATAAACTATATTAGAATAGAACATATGTTACTTATTTGTAAGAGTTAAATATTTTATTTCGTATTACAGCAGAATGGCCAAAGACTATGACAGGTCTTCCCAGCACGTCGGGGACAACAGCCAGTGTGGTCATCATACGGGGCATGAAGATGTATGTAGCTCACGTGGGTGACTCAGGCGTGGTTCTTGGAATTCAGGATGACCCAAAGGATGATTTTGTCAGAGCTGTGGAAGTGACACAGGATCATAAGCCAGAACTTCCCAAGGAAAGAGAACGCATCGAAGGACTTGGTGGGAGGTAATCATTATGCTGTTTTGTCTTTCCTCTCTATTTAATCCTTTTCTGCTTTACTAACCAGTTTGCCCTATTTCTCCCTTTCAATGAAGTGGTTTTTTTCAGTATTACATGTTTTTAGTTTGCCTTGTAAAGTACCCATGTGCATTCGTATTTATCTTATTACGTTGAATTTACTTTTATTTCTGATAAGGCTCCAAAGGGAAATAATATTTTAGTGGAATTCAAGTAACAATATATGCAAGGATTTATTAAAGACCTTCTACATGAATAATGGTCAGCATGACCTTCACAATTTGAACTTAGCAGCCCTTACAATTCCAGAATAGAACAGTTTCTTCTTACTTCAGGAATAGAATTTTGTTAAAATTAACCTTCAGTTTTTTTCTTTGATTTTTGTCATGTGCTGTAAACTTTTCTTCTTTTATTTATTTTAACTTACTGTCTCAATATGTAGTTTATAAACTATAAACAAATAGATTTCAACATACCGTATTTTCCGGCGTATAAGACGATTTTTGAAACGAAAAAAAAGTCAACCGAAAATCGGGGGCAAATGACCAAAATTGCACAAAAATTACCTGCAGATCTTGACGGCAAAGTAAGTCTTTTCTTTGAAGTGGGGGGTAGTCTTATACAGTGAATATAGGCATAAACCTATGTTTTAACTGTAAAATTAGTAGGTCGTCTTATATGCCGGAAAATTGATACAAACTAAAATGTAAGATTATTCTAAAGTAATGAGGAATGAATAGCATGAGAAAACTAAAAAGTTATTTCAATACTTATTTGTGCCAAAACCGGTTTGGCTCAGTGGATAGAGCATTGCCCTGTGGACTGAAAGGTCCTGGGTTCGATTCCGGTCAAGGGCATGTACATTGGTTGCAGGCACATCCCCAGTAGGGGGTATGCAGGAGCAGCTGATCGGTGTCTCTCTCTCATCGATGTTTCTAGCTCTCTATCTCTCTCCCTCCCTCTCTGTAAAAAAACAATAAAATATATTAAAATAAATAAATAAAATACAATGAAGTTCTATTTTCTTAAAAAAAAAACAAAAACTTATTTGTAACAAACGAGGGCCTATGGCAAATTAAATGTTTTCTTATGTAATAATTCTAACTAAAGCCTTATGATATTATTACTAGTCTCTCTTACTTTTAGTAAATCAAAAGTCTTTTTCAGAGCAATAATAATAAAGAAAAGTAATCAACATTCTTAATTATAAGGAGTTCAAAACATCAATAAGGAAAACACCCCCCTCCACCACCAGATAGATGGATAATGGAGAGGAAGTTTGAACAACAAAAATACAAAAGAGCTCAGTGGATAAAGCATCTGCCTGCGGACTGAAGGGTCCCGGGTTCGATTCCAATCAAGGGCATGTACCTTGGTTTTGAGCACATCCCTAGTAGGGGGTGTACAGGAGGCAGCTGATCGATGATTCTCTCTCATCAATGTTTCTAACTCTTTATCTCTTTCCCTTCCTCTCTGAAAAAATCAATAAAATACATTTTTAAAAAAATACAAAAGAGTAGTAAACATGAGAAAAAAATGGTTAACATTATTATTTTTAAAGTATATTATATTGATATTTTACACAGAGGAAAAGAGAGGGATAGAGAGTTAGAAACATTGATGAGAGAGAAATATCAATCAGTTGCCTCTTACACACTTCCTACTAGTGATGTGCCTGCATCAAAGTACATGCCCTTGACCAGAATCAAACCTGGAACCTTATAGTCCCAAGCCAATGCTCTATCCACTGAGCCAAACTGGTCAGGGCTGTTTAACATTATTGAAATGAAACTCTATTTCCTTCTGTTGAGTTAAAAAAGATTAAAAAACTAGAGAGATACTCTTTAATATTTTTGTTGAAATGGATCTCCTGTTGGTAGGATTTTAAATTGGTACAAACTCTATAGAGCAACAGAGGCCAGGCCCTGAGCAGCCAGGCCCAGAACAGCTCGCTCCTTGCCTGCCCCTGCCCTATGGCTGCTTCTCAGACATGGCTGGAAACTTTCGTGGGAACTTGAGGGTCTGCTGAATCAAGTGATGAAGGCTTAGATCTGGATGTGTTGAGTTAGTTTAGGACTGGGGTGTTGATCTGTGAGTGCCTTGGGTGGGGCCTGGATGAGGCTGGTGGACCTATTGGGAAATGTCTTTTGTGTGAAGTGTATCATTGGGCATGTGGAGGTATTATTGATATGAGAAAATGCTAAGTAACTGATTTACTATCTGAAAAGGGATTTACTATTGGGGAAAAGGGAGGGAAGAAGAGACTGAACATAAACTGCACCTATGGATGAGGACAATGGGGGATGGAGAGGGGGCAGAAGGTGGGGTGGGAACCTGGTGGAGGGGGGAAGAAATGAGGAACCTTTGTAATAATATGAACAATAAAGATTGATTTAAAAAATAAAAAAAATAAAATAAAATAAAAATAAAAAAAATAAATTGGTACAAACTCTATAGAATATAATACCTATCATTAGCTTTAAATGTTTTTGTAGTTCTTTTTTTAGAAAGAAAAAAGTGTTTATAGACCTAGTAATATCAGAAATCTACTCTAAAGAATAAATCTTAAATGTGGACCAAAATATATGAAGTTATTTATATACTTAATATAAATAACATTTAATGACTATTAATGGCAGGAAAAACTTGAAGGCCCAATAGCTGGAGAATGGTTAAGCATGTTATAATACACTTGAGGCCCAGTGCATGAAATTCGTGCACGGAGGTATGTCCCCTCAGCCCAGCCAACACCCTCTCCAATATGGGATCCGTTGGGGGATGTGCAGGAGGCAGCTGGTCGATGTTTCTCTCTCATTGGTGTTTCTAGCTCTCTATCCCTTTTTCTTTCTCTCTGTAAAAAAATCAATAAAATGTATTTAATATATATATGTATATATACATATATCCTATATAATAAAATGCTAATGTGCAAATTGACTAAATGGTGGAATGACCAATCGTTATGATGCACACTAACTACCAGGGGGCAAACACTCAATGCAGGAGTTGCTCCCTGATAGTAAGTATTCTCCCACAGGGAGAGTGCCACTCAACCAGAGGCCAGGCTCATGGCTGGTGAGTGTAGCGGAGGTGGTGGGAGCCTCTCTTGCCTCAGCAGCAGAGCTAAGGACCCCTCGGGGGTTGTCCAACTGCCAGCTTAGACCCATTCCCTTCTTGGCGGACATCTGTCTACTGAGGAGTCCTCGGACTGTGAGAGTGTGCAGGCTGGGCTGAGGGACCGCCCTCCCCTACTGCACTAATGTCATGCAGCGGGCCTCTAGTATATATATAAAAGATTGATTCCTGACACATGTGAAACTCGAGGATAAGAAGCTACAGAATGGCTCCTGGATTTCTGTAAGGGTCATTGCTGAAAAACAACTGATACAGGCTGCCTGCTCTCATACTGTTTCCTGTTCTGTATCCCACAAAATTAAATGAGCCTGGTTTCATGCTATAATATATTTGAACCTTTGCGTGCCAAGGTCAGTCTGTTTGACAGTTTGTATGATACTGCTGGTAGTCATGCAAAGTGGGCTTTGCAATTATAAATTGAATTCCTGTATGTATTTGGGTCTTTTTCTGGGCTTTATTTGTTTTTTTAATAAACTTATCCCTGTAAGAATTTTTTAAGTATATATTTTATTAATTTTAGAGAGGAAGGGAGGAGAAAAAGATAGAAACAGCAATGATGAGAGAGAATCATTGATCTGATACTTCCTGCACTCCCCCTATTGGAGATCGAGCCTGCAACTGGGCATGTGCCCTTGATTGGAATTGAACCCAGGATCCTTTAGTCTGCAGATCAACGCGCTATCCACTGAGCCAAACCAGCTACGGCTCTATTTTTTTTAATACTATATGTTCATGTACTAATGCCATACTTTTAAAAAATATAGATATCTTTTTATTGATTTCAGAGAGGAAGAAGAGGGAGAGAGAGGTAGAAACATCAATGATGAGAGAGAATCATTGATTGGCTATCTCCTGCATGCCCCACACTGAGGATCGAGCCTGCAACCTGGGCATATGCCCTGACTGGGAATTAACTGTGACCTCCTGTTCATAGGTGGACGCATGCTCAACCACTGACTCGCCGGCCGGGCTCACTTTTTAAATTGAGGCTTTATTAAAGTTTGTAACATGGATAGGCCTAATCCCTTCTCATTAATTTTTAAAATATATTTTCTTGACTGTTCTTTTTTATTTTGCTATATGAATTTTTAAATTACATTTTCCTTGATTGTCCTAAGTTTTTTTTAGAGTTTTTTTTTTTTTTTTTGGTCTTATCTCTTAAAATACCATCTGGATAGTTGGACAGATGCTCTTTGTTATTTGGGAGCAGGTGTCTTTTTGCATAAATTGAGCTGTTTTATTATAAGTCATTTCCTCCTTTTCCTCTATCTCACCCTAGGCAACTGGCCAGTGCTCTGTTTTTCCAGCCTTCTGTTGCTGTCAGTCAGCTCTCTGCTTATCAGGCTGTTCTTTTGTGTATGTCTTTGGATAGTACAGGGTAATGGTGAGGATTGAAATAAAAGCAGCATTCTATCATTGTTTTGGTTTTTTTATTCCAAATTTAAAACTTTGTTTTAATCAGTACCATTATTTTGTCTTTTGTTCCTCAGAAATATAGAGACTGTAATATTTTTAATATTATTAAGAGAGCTGTTAGTAGAGTTATATTGGATGCAATTGGTAACTAATGTAATTACTAAAATATTATTTTTAGGGAGCAGATTTAGGAAAGACCAATAGGGCTAAAGGTGTTAAGGAGACAGAATGTAGGTATCTTTTCCTGTAACTCTCATGTTTCATAGATTTTTCTGAATGATATAGACTTAGTCTTTATTCTCTTATTTGTTTTTTAAAATTTTTAAATCTAAGGTTTTTTTTTTCTTTCTAATTTACTTTTAAGGATCAGCATTGAAGAAAGCATAAAATAATAAAATGACTGTCTTTGATATTCTTTCTTACTCTTGCTAGGCCCGAGAACAGTGTTGCTTTCAGAATTGTGAATTAACCTAAAAAGGGATAGTAAATTACCAACTCTCTTGAATTTCTCTTTCATATTAACATTAACATTGACATTGTTTTTTTTTTTTCATCCTATACTTGCTTCATTCCTTCCCTGTGTTGCCTGGTATAGTAGCCACTGGCCACATATGGCTGTTTAAATTCAAGTATAAATTAATTAAAATTAAATAGAATTAATTCAGTTTCACATTTTCAATGCTCAATAGGTACACATCATTTGTGACTACTGTATTTGGGCAGTGCAGAGTAAACATTTCCATAATTACAGGAAGTTTCATGACACAGCTGCTAAATCTCCTGGTTTTCTACTTTAGAAAGAAGGTTGAGGTTCTTCTGCATTTCAGGGGTGTTTTTTTGTTTGTTTTTCTTTTTGGTCAGAGGAAGATTTTTCTTTCTCATTTATAAGATTTATGCCTTTATTTTACTTCTCTTAGGACTTTTTTCTCATTTATCCCTCTCTTGCTAGTATTTTTATCCCTTTGAAGTTAGAACCGAGATAAAATAACCATATAGGATATAACCAGATTACTGCTGCTGAGGTGTACAGCAGGAATTTCATAGTGACATTCATTTGGAGGTGGTGACCATTATTTGTCCTGTCTTCAATTTTCCATACCTAAAGTCAGTTTAGTTTCAGTGCTTATCAAGTTTAGGGGAAGAAGAGTCATGTTACTCACAGCCAACATAGTAAACTAATAGACTCATATGTCAGAATGCTATAGTTCTTTTTTTTTTTTTTAATATGTTTTTATTTATTTATTTATTTTTATTGATTTTGTACAGAGAGGAAGGGAGAGAGATAGTTAGAAACATTGATGAGAGAGAGTCATCTATCAGCTGCCTCTTACACACACACCCCCACTGGGGATACGCCCGCAACCAAGGTACATGCCCTTGACCGGAATCGAACCCGGGACCCTTCAGTCCCCAATCCGACGCTCTATCCATTGAGCCAAACCAGTTTTGGCTATAGTTCTTATTAGTGAGAAAAAATAACTGACTAAAAAGTCCACATATTATTGGCTGGCTGTAGATGAAATGAAATTTCATAATATAATCAAAGGATTTCTGGGCCCAACTGTGGAGGCTTGATTAGATTATCTTAATAAGTCATCTGTCTTTGACAGCCTTGAGAATGAATCATGATTAGCATGTGTCTGTCAAATGGACCTAATATTGTTTCTTGTAAATACTCTGTCATTTCATACCCCAACTTTTCTAGCCTTCCAATGAACATTTGTCTTCTATTTATTTATTTTTAATTCAGGCAGATTATGATCAAATTGATTTAAGGGTCAGCTTCCCATTTCACTAATACAGGCACAGGTACAGAGACTATCTTTATTGGTTTATTTTCCCATCTCTATTGTTGTCAATAACTTTTTTTATTTCAAGACTTAACCATATTTCCATGTTTTAGGCAACCTAGAGTATCCTAACTCCTAGGGTTACTAATTACAGATTTCTGTTGCTTCTATGCAAAATTTCTAGGATGGTTTTTCTTGTTCTATAACTCCTAAATCTACATTTTTACAGATCTGTTTCCAAAGTCTAATCTTACATTTCTGATTACAGAAATATCTAACTATATCAATACTTCTATTGAGGTTTAACAATTAATTTCTGAGTACCCTCAAATCCCTCAAAAACTGTATAACTTTTTCTTTGTAATTTCTTTTATCACTATTTAATTCCTCTCATTTGTATCCTTTTCTTCCTCCCATCCAACTTTTTTTTAGTTATCAAGTTATTTGCCCCCTTTATAGCTACTCATTTTCTTCCCATTACTTCCAGTCCCTTCTGTTTAGCCTGCTTTAGTAATCTTCACATTCTCCTCTTCTTAACCTACCCTATGTTATTTATTTATTCTCTCTGAACAGGAACCTTGGCTTATGCATCTTTGTATCTGAAACAGACAAGTCATTATTTTGTGATAATCTGATTTTATTTGTTATTTAAAATATAGAGCCACTTTAGTTGTTATGTTTTAATCATAGAGTATTTATGTGAACTTTGTTTTTTAGTGTGATGAACAAGTCTGGCGTGAATCGTGTAGTTTGGAAACGACCTCGACTCACTCATAATGGACCTGTTAGAAGGAGCACAGTTATTGACCAGATTCCCTTTCTGGCAGTAGCAAGAGCACTTGGTAAGTAAAGGCCGGTTTGGCTCGTGGATGCTGAGGCCGGTTTGGCTCGTGGATAGAGCATCGGCCTGCGGAGTGAAGGGTCCCAGGTTTGATTCCGGTCAAGGGCATGTACATTGGTTGCGGGCACATCCCTGGTGGGGGGTGTGTAGGAGGCAGCTGGTCAATGTTTCTCTCATCGATGTTTCTGACTCTCTATTCTTCTCCCTTCCTCTCTGTAAAAAATCAATAAAATATATTTTAAAATTTTTTTTTAATTTTCTTTAACTTGTTGCATGATAATACTTAATGGTTTATGGTGAATTAAATGATAGTATTTAGCACCATTAGTATGACTTATGGCTATTTTCTGGAAGAAAACATAAAAATGGGTACTATTTTAGCTCTGATGAGGAACATAATTAAATACAAATGAAGCAAAGGTGCCTTCTAGTGGCTGTCTGATGTAATTGCATATGAGTCTCACAAATCATTTACTCTTTTTTTTAAAAAAAATATTTATATTGATTTCAGAGAGGAAGGGAGAGGGGGAGAGCGATAGAAACATCAGTGATGAGCTGAAACCGGTTTGGCTAAGTGGTAGAGCATCGGTCTGCGGACTGAAAGGTCCCAGGTTCGATTCCTGTCGGGGGGCCTATACCTTGGTTGTGGGCACATTCCCAGTAGGGGGTGTGTAGGAAGCAGCTGATCGATGATTCTCTCTCATCGATGTTTCTAACTCTCTAGTCCTCTCTCTTCCTCTCTGCAAAAAAATCAATAAAATATATATTTAAAAAAACAAAACAAAAAAACATCAGTGATGAAAAAGAATCATCGATTGGCTGACTCCTGTACGCCCCCTACTGAGGATCGAGCTCGCAACCAGTGCATGTGCCCTTGACTGGAATCGAACCCAGAACCTTTCATCTCAAACCGATTCTCTATCCACTAAGCCAAACCAGTGAGGGCCATTTATTTAGTTAGTTGTTGACATTATTATAGATTATTAAGGGCAGTATGTACCAAACACATAGTCTTTGCCCTCATGGAAGCTCACAGTTTAGAGAAGGGTAGAGGCATTCATCAAATGATCACAAAAATAACTTAAAATTATAACAAGTGCTTGTAAAAAAAAAAGTGCTTGCATATGTGCTAAATAAAATTTAAAACGGGGGTATTTTACATAACTGGAAATATCAGAGCAATGATGTTTGAGCTGAGGCCTAAAGAATTACTAGAAATTTAGAGTAGAAGAGCCCAGTTAATGTAGCTGAGTGTCAACCTATAATATGAACTAGGAGGTCACAGTTCCATTCCAGGTCAAGGTGTATGCCCAGGATGCTGGCTTGATCCCCACTGGAGGGCTTACAGTAGGCACCCATTCAGTGATTCTCTCTCATTATTGATGTTCTATCTCTCCTTTCCTCTCTGAAATTAATTACTAGTAAATAAATCTTTTTTTTTTAAAGAGGAAGAAAGTGTGCCGAAGCCGGTTTGGCTCAGTGGTAGAACATCGGTCTGCGGACTGAAAGGTCCCGGGTTCGATTCTGGTCAAGGGCATGTACCTTGGTTGGGGGCATATCCCTGTGCAAGAGGCAGCTGATCGATGATTCTCTCTCATCGATGTTTCTGACTCTCTGTTCCTCTCTCTTCCTCTTTGTAAAAAATCAATAAAACATATTTTTTTAAAAAAAGATAAGAGGAAGAAAGTGTGTTCTAGGCATAGGAGTGGAATTTGTGAACAGCTCTGTGATATGGGAATTATGGTAAATATAAAAAGGACTCAATTGAAGGCAAGGGTAGCTGGAACAGAGATATGGGAATAAGAGGCATGGATAAAATGAGAAAATAATGCATTTTTGTAGTCTGGATATCTTTAAGAACAAGAGTAAACTATTTCAAAGTTGAAGTGGGAAATATATAAGTAGATTTTTGTGTTTTTTAAATTATTGCAAAATACATATAACAAAATTGACGTGTCTTAACAATTTTGAATGTGTAGTTTAGTGGTATTAAGTACATTTACATTGCTGTGCAGCCATCACCCCATCTATTTTAAATTTAAGTTTTAAAGAGATGGTTTTGGTTGCAGTTTTGAGAATGGATTAGGTGAGGCAATAGTTGCTGGAAAGCTCTCCATGGAAAGCTACTCACAGGGGGTGGGGTGCTGAAATTCACTAAGGGTACAGACAACTGGGTGTCCTGCACACTGACTGGCTGCCATGTGCCACAGGAATAAGCAGAGAACATACTGAAATCAGAAGGCCTTTCTCCTCTGGTGTTCCCCAGTGTCCCTACTGAGGATGAAAGGGAAATGACCATTGACAAGCAACCAACAATATCTGCCACAGTGCCCAAGGCCCTCTGTTAAGTATGCATGGGAATGACATTCTGATTCTATTTTAGTTCAAGGCTTAATTCTGATCCTTATTCATTTGATCTCATATGGATATTTCTCTCTCTCTCCCTCTTCCTTCCTCTTTCTAAAAATCAATTTTTAAAAAATCTTAAATTTTTTTGGGGGGGATTCTGGTTTGAATTATTAAATTTTATGTTATTTAAAAAAAATATATGTTTTATTGATTTTTCAGAGAGGAAGAGAGAGGGATAGAAAGTTAGAAACATCCATGAGAGAGAATCATTGATAAGCTGCCTCCTGCACACCCCCTACTGGGGATGTGCCCGCAACCAATGTGCATGCCCTTGACCTGAATCGAACTTGGGACCTTTCAGTCCACAGACCAATGGACGCCCTATCCACTAAGCCAAACCGGTTTCGGCTACAGTTGACTTTTATATATAGGGTTTGTATTTAACAACTTTCTGTAAATAATGATAGTTTTATTTTCTCCTTCCTGATTTATATATCTGATTTATTTTTATCATCTTATTCTGCTGGAAAGGGTCTCCAGTATAATATTGGAATAGAAGTGGTGGTAGAAGACATATTCTTTATCTGGTTAAGGGAGTTACCTTAAATCTCTATTTTGCTAGGAAGTTTTTTAAAAGTATCATGAATAAATTTTGAATGTTATCACTTTTCTGTGCCTATTGAAATGAACATGTACATTTTTTCTTTTAATCTGTTGATGTGATATTGCTATTATGGAAATAATATTTCTTGCTTCTTCTGCTCTCAGGTGATTTGTGGAGCTATGATTTCTTCAGTGGTGAATTTGTAGTGTCACCTGAACCAGACACAAGTGTTCACACTCTTGATCCCCAGAAGCACAAGTATATTATCTTGGGGAGTGATGGACTTTGGAATATGATTCCACCTCAAGATGCCATCTCAATGTGCCAGGACCAAGAGGAGAAAAAATATATAATGGTGAGAAGTGACTCAGGAATTTGCTACTATTGTGTATATATATATTGTTCTGGTGCTTTTTGTTTACCTTAAGTAGATATTTGCATTGGCCTGGCTTTAGAAGTAAGCAAAACATAGCTTTTGCAGCTCATTAGTGGAGCGAGGCAGGAAATATATAAAACTACGTAACAAAAGACATAACGACTGACATCATTATGAATAGCCCTTGACGTAATTTGAAACCTCACCAATTCTTTTTTAATTGAGATATATTTTACACCCTAACATTTATTTACCCTTTTAAAGTGTATAATTTAGTGATTGTTAGTACATTCTCAGTTGTATAACCATCACCACTATTTAATCCCAGAACATTTTCATCAGTGCTTCCCCTTCTCTCCCTCTCCCCTTCTCTCTCTGAAGTCAACTAAAAAATATTTTAAAAATAAAATAAAAAAGGAAACAATATTAGAGGGGCTCAGGTAATCAGCTGAAGCAGTGAGTTGAGGGAAGATTTTAAGTAAGTAGTGGTATTGGCTTATACAGATTTTTTTTTTTTCATGGAGCTTTGCTTGGGAGAGAAATACAGAGGCACACTGAAAAAGTGAAAGTAGTTCTCCGTGAACTACTATTTGGGCAATGATGAAACATGTACTGGGGAATGTGTTAGATTCATGAATGAGAAATTAGTGCTGCCTTTCGTCATTTGTGAGGTGCATGTTTTTTCATATGAGAAATTGAGAAATAAAGGCAGTATTTAAAAAATCATTACAAAATGATACTTATTTTGGGGATAATGAGATTTTATTTATTTATTTTTTAAACACATTTTTATTGATTTCAGAGAGGAAGAGAGAGATAGAAACATAAATGATGAGAGAGAATCATTGATCATTGCCTCCTACACCCACCCTCCTGGGGATTGAGCCCGAAAGCCGGGTATGTGCCCCAAGTGGGAATCTAACTGAGATCTCCTGGTTCATAGGTTGGTATTCGACCACTGAGCAACACTGGCCAGGCTAATTAAGGTTTTAAACAAAGCAATTAAGAAGAGTTATTTCTAGTTTGCCATCATTACTGTGATGAAATACTGTAATATACTTAAGATCAGACAACAGCAAGTAAAGATGTTTCCCTATTTTTTTTTTTTTTTTCAAGGAAAGGATAAAAAAATACATCCCAGTTATTTATCCAGTTTGAATATATACACTTTAGGGATACAGATGACAACTACATGTCTTATAGTATAATATAGATAATATATATTTTATATGTAATGTTTAAAGTACTAGATAGTACATCATATAGTGTACATTTAGTATATAATAATACATTAATATATACTTAAGAGTATGTTAATATGCCTTATTAGGTTACATAAAATAACTAAAATATTTTTCCATTTGTATATATCCATGATATATTTCTTTTTCAACTAATTCCACTTATTTTCATAATTTAGTTATTTCCAGGTATACTTTGTAAGACATGTAGTCTTTTTTTTTTTTTTTTAATATATTTTATTGATTTTACACAGAGAGGAATTGAGAGGGACAGAGAGTTAGAACATCGATGAGAGAGAATCATCAATCAGCTGCCTCTTGCACACCCCCTACTGGGGATGTGCCCGCAACCAAGGTACATGCCCTTGCCCGGAATCGAACCCGGGACCTTTCAGTCTGCAGGCCAACGCTCTATCCACTGAGCCAAACCGGTCCCGGCAAGACATGTAGTCTTATTTTCTGGAGCACTTTCGTTTCTGTTCTCTGAAATTAGCAATGATTGAATCCATGTGTGACACTGAAAGTTTTCTTCCAAACTACATTTATTTGTATAATATGAAGTCATTTAAGATTTTTTTACTCTTTCTGTAGATTTGTATTTGATCTCTATACCATAACAACTTATTGTGTTGCTTTTTTTCTCCTATGAATGACACTGACCATTTAAAAATATATGTTAAAGGGTCATTTATATTTCCTTGTCTCTGAATTTTGTTCATATCCTTTGACAGTTTTTATTTTGGGTCATTCTCTTTGAATTTCAGAAGCTCTTATTTTAGGAGGAAATTGGCCCTTTGCAGTGAGATTTTTGTTGCCATACTTGATTGTAATAATTTGTGAATTGTTTATAACTTGATGTTTACTTTGCTTTTTAGATAACTTCTATATAACTTTGTCTTAACTATATGTAACTTTAATAACTGTAACTAGTGTTACAGTGAAGACACATTTCTTGATACCAAAAAGATAAAAATACAGGTGAAATCTACAGAATAAGTTTTATTATCTTTTGAAAATTTAGAATAGTACTATGATTTTGACGTAGTTTTAGGATCTATGGATAATGTTTGAAATTTTGAAAATTTAATTTAGGTCATATTGAACATCAAATATTTAATTTGATACATGTGTAGTGGTGACTAAATTTGAGTGGTTGACTTCCATCTCCTTCTTTTAAATATAGGGTGGTGAGCATGGACAATCTTGTGCCAAAATGCTTGTGAATCGAGCACTAGGCCGCTGGAGGCAGCGGATGCTTCGAGCAGATAATACCAGTGCCATAGTAATCTGCATCTCTCCAGGAGTGGGTAGTCAGGGAAATTTCACCAATGATGATGAGCTCTATCTGAACCTAACTGATAGCCCTTCTTATAATAGTCAAGAAACCAGCCTGCGGACTTCTTCCCCAAGTTCTACACCACCAGTCAAGGTATATAGTTCTATAGTATTTAAGTTATTTTAATAGGTAGAGTTTCTTTGGTTAGTGTTACTTGAAAACAGTTTTCAGAATTCTTGTTTTCAGAAATCCAGAAGACTTTGGATTTTAACTAGTCTCAAGAACCTGATGAATCTTTGTCATGTAACTTATTGTCAGTGAGCCATCTTGGCACCATCTGCAGGCCAATGCTCGCTCTAGTGAGCCAAAGAGGCTAAGGCAAGAATATATTATATTAATAATTTATTTGAGAAGAGAGGAAGTGATTGAGGAAAATGTTGCATATGGGGGCAGGCGGGGAGAGAGAGTGTATATGCTTAAATTCTGTTCTTGAGAAACTATAAGACAAATGATGCCATAAATCCTCACCCAAGGATATTTTTCCAGTGACTTTTTAGAGAGAGTGGAAGGGATTGGAGAGACAGAGAGAAACATCTATGTGAGAGAGACACATCGATTGGTTGCCTTCTGCATGTGCCCAGACCAGGACCAGGGATCGAGCTTGCAACTGAGGTACATGCCCTTGACTGGAATCAAACCTGGGACTCTTCAGTCCACAGGCTGACACTCTTATCCATTGAGCCAAATAGGCTAGGGCAAGACAATGATTTTTTAAGATATTAGTGAAAGATTGGGTTTGATAGGAAGAGTGTTCTTATTTGATTGGAGATGAGAGGATAGTCTATGTATTTCTAGAGCTGTACAGCTAAAGGAGTGGTACATTATCTGAATTACCTGTGAAGCTTCTAAAAAGCAATATATGAGAGTTTCTAAATGATCTTCACTTATTTTATAGAAAGTAGCTCCAGCCATGCTCAGTAGGGTGCAAAGCAACAATGTGAGTTTCCTTATGGCATAGTTGCTTTAATGTTGCACTATATATTTTCCACTCTACTAAATATTCAGAAATTAGACTATAGAAAGTAGGAAAAAGCCAAATTTGTCATTTATTCTAATGAAACCCTTCATCTTCCCAAGAGTCAGGCTGAGTTCTAGGATAAGTGATTTCTTACTTGGTTTACTTTCTTGTTTTTCAGTCAATGGAGGAGGACCCTTGGTCAAGACTGAACTCTAAGGACCATATACCTGCCCTTGTTCGTAGTAATGCCTTCTCAGAGAACTACTTAGAAGTCCCAACTGAGGTGGCTCGAGGGAATGTCCAGGCTGCAGTCTTACCCTCAAAAGATACAGAGCCACTTGAAGAAAATTGCACTAAAGCCCTGACATTAAGGATACATGATTCTTTGAATAATAGCCTGTCAGTTGGCCTGGTGCCTACCAATTCAACAAACACCATCATGGACCAGAAAAATATAAAGATGTCAACTTCAGGTCAAATGAAAGCCCAAGAAGTTGAAAGAACCCCTCCAGCAAACTTTAAAAGGACATTAGAAGAATCCAATTCTGGCCCTCTTATGAAGAAGCATAAACGAAATGGTTTAAGTCGAAGTAATAATGCTCAGCCTGCAGGCCTTGCCACAGCCTCACAGCGAAAGAACTCCGTTAAACTTACCATGCGACGCAGACTTAGGGGCCAGAAGAAAATTGGAAATCCTTTACTTCACCAGCACCGAAAAACTGTTTGTGTTTGCTGAACTGTATCTGCAAAATGTCTTTTTTCCAAATTTAGGATATAAGGCTTTTGAAGATGGTGCCGAAGATGAACTTTTTTTTAAAAAGGACAAAATAAAAATGGAATACAGTTTGACTTTTTGGAATTCAACAGTTTAATCCTGGCCTTGTACTTGCTTGTATTATAAATGTGAATTTTATAGATGTTAGGGTATACGTTGCTGTAAAATGTGTGTAAATTTGTATCCTTCACACAAACTCAGTCTCTTACTCTGATACACAGTAATTATAACAACAGGGCTAAAGGTTTTAAACTTTTAAAAATGCTTATTTAGTCACTTGTGATGAAACTATACAACTTTTTAAAGTAAATTATTAAGCAAACTGGAAAGTGACGTATTTTCATAGTGATCTGTGTTCCACTTAATGTTTCTTAGAGACTGTCTTTTAAAAATTATTTTTTATTTCTAATTTCATAATTCAGAACTAAATTTTTCATAGAAGCAGAAGTAGCTGGCTTTTAGTCTTCTTGTTCTAATTAAAATACTATGCACTATCTTTTATTTCAGTAGCATTTTTCTGAAAACAATAATCATCAGATACATTCATTAAACCTTTGGAATAGAAGGTTTGTTTCCCTAAAAAAATGCCCCACTCAGTTATCCCAGATATTCAGTGGCATTATTAGGTCTTAAAGTAGTTACCCTCTTCTAGTATTTGCATAAAATATGTGTGAAGTTTCTATTGCTATTTCAATAATGGATGGTGCTGCTAATTCTCAACATTTCTTAAATTATTTCATATATCATATAGTTTCATTGATTATATGGAAATATGTTTGTTCAGCTAATAAATCAGTAAATTGTTTGTGATATTACTGGATTTTTATTGTTGGCTTTAATGATATATATTAACTTTCTGTTGTGCCATATCGTGCTTTTAGAGTAACTTAAATGCATTGTTCATCAAAACAGGCTAAACATCTTAACAGTAAGAATATGATTAAGTCAGTTATGGCTTATAATATTTGATGACATTGCAATTAAAAGTGAATAAAACTACTTTGGTAATGTATAAAAAACTAAAAGGAATTAATACTAAAATACTAAGTATGTCATTTTAGTATGGTGAATTGTTCTACAGTGAGGAATTTTTAAAATTTATTTAGGATGTCTCTCATTGAAAGATTGAAGAGTTGATTACATATATAAAACCCTAATATGCAAATAGCGAAACAACTGAAAAACAATTGCTATGACGTGTGCTGACCACCAGGGGGTGCATGCAGAACATGGCGGGCATCGGCAGCAGATGGCAGAGCAGGAAACATTGTGGGCATCAGCTGTTGCGAGATGGTGGAGTAAGTTAACAGAAACACCAGACCAAGGTGGGGCCCCTATCATTGTCATCAGGGCGAGCCTCTGGTGGTTACTGAAAATTCTTTGCTCCTATGCACCTCTGTCCTGCCAGGTGCTGGCACCTACTGCCAGCACCGGCCCTGCTCGCCCCTGCTGCCAGCCCCAGTTGCCCCTTAGAGCTTCTCCACCTCCCCACTGCTCTTGAGGGACAATCAGGGCAGCAGTCGCTGCTCACACCTGCTGACCCTATTCTCACACGCTGGCCCTATTCTCACACACTGCTGGCACTGATCCTAATCGCTCCACGTTGGCAGCGGCTGCAAGCGGGGGCCGGGCACTGTCAGCGGGAGGGGCCTGATGGGGGTGAGGAGGATGGGCCAGAACTGTTCCTGTGCCTATCTCAACCTTGCGATTCCTTTCAGGGTGCATGAATTCATGCACTGGGCTCCTGGTATAACTATAATATGCTAGGTACTGAACAATTGGAAGCATACTACTTTCCATAAGAAAAATAATTGAGAAGCAGTAGTCTGAGTAAAACTTTAATTGAGGCTAGTTTTTAAAAAGGTATTTTGGGCCCTGGCCAGATAGCTTGCTGGTTAGAGCATCATCCAAGGTTCTGGGTTCAATCCCTAAAAAAAAATAAAAGGATTTTTGGATAATTTTTTCAGATCTTTCAAGAGAGAGACATAGAAACTTAGAAACATTTTTAAGTCAATTTATTTTGAAGGGTTTTTCCATAAATTAGATCAGTAATACCACGTTAGCTGGTCCATGTAGAAATTCAACAAATCTGGCCCTAACAGGTTTTGCTCAGTGAATAGAGTGTCCGCCTGCGGACTGAAGGATCCTGGGTTTGATTCTGGTCAAGGGCATGTACCTTAGTTGTGGGCACATCCCCAGTGAGAGGTGTGCAGAAGGCAGCTGATTGATGATATTTCTCTGTCATTGATGTTTCGAACTATCCTCCTTTCCTCTCTGTAAAAAAGCAATAAAATATATTTTTAAGAAATTCAACAAATCTGAATGTATAGTAAAAGCAGGAAAAATCCGTTTAGCTCTTTTTCACCTTTTTTGCCAGTGGTTTTAAAGATAATAATATAATCCTGTCTATATTAAATTAAAATTTCCATTTGACTAAAGTAATGGATAAATTAATCTTTAATGCAAAAATGCCACAGCATTAATTCTTTCATAGATCACATTTTTAGTGTATTAGAGTCTAATTATATACCATACCAGTAGTTATCTAATACTGGAAACATTTTTTGGCTTGACACACATAAATGCAGATGCTAAAATTAGCTCTTTTCTCTATGTGTTCCCTGGGATATGTTCTTTAAGGAGTTAAAGATGTTATGTAATCACAAATGTTTTAATGTTTCTATTTTTATTAAATTTTACTTGCCTATGTAACATCTGCATGATGGAAAATGCATGATGTATAAAATGGTACATAATGAAGAAACCCCACCTCAGTCCCCAAGGCCACCAGTATTTCCTCCTTTTTGGTGTATTCTCTCTGATAATCTATGCATAGACTGCACTATGTGTTTATTGATTAATCTTATCTTTTTAAGATTGTGTCCATAGCAGTACATTACCGAGCCTCAAGCACTTGATTGGGGGGTGGGGGAAGTGTCCCTCAACCCAGACTGTGCCCTCTCGCAGGCCAGGAGCCCTTGGGGGTGTCCAACTGATGGTTTAGGCCCGCTCTCAAGCTGGCAGTCAGACATCCTTAGTGCTGCTGCAGAGGTTGGAGGGGCTCCTGCCGCCACCACCACTGCACTCGCCAGCTGTGAGCCTGGCTTCTGGCTGAGCAGCCCTACCCCTGTGGGAGCGCACTGACCACCAGGGGGCAGCTCCTGCCTTGACTATCTGCCCCCTGATGGTCATTGTGCATCAAAGTGACTGGTTCTGCTGTTTGGTTGATTTGCATATTAGCCTTTTATTATATAGGATTCTGCCTAGTCTGTGGATATTTTACTTTGCCACTAAGTAACTATGTCCACTAAAAGGAAAACACTATTTCTTCCTTTATTCACAGAATACTCTGACACAAGATATATGGGTTTTCCTCACCAAACAATTCTCTAATTTCTGAGACATCAACTGGATGTCCTACAATTAAATTCAGTTTTTGTATCTACCTGGAGTTATCAGAACCCACAGATTAAGAGCTCAGTCTCAGAAGACTGCACCCATTTCAGATACCAATTACAAATCACATATACTTTTGATCAAGTGGCTATAAATCAGGGTTTCTACAACCCCATCCACAGGTTTTATAATTTTTGGTTAAGAGGCCTCAGTTCCTTGCCATATGTGCCCCTTCATAGGGCTTTCCACAATAATTTCCATTAACTTTCTTTTTCAATATTTTGAAGAACAGGTTCTTGACCTATTTATTTCATGCCTTAAAGATGAAAATATGGTAGTTATGAAAAAATGTTTTAGTTCTGTATTGCTGCATAAAAATACCTCAAAATTTAGTAGCTTAAAATAATAAACGGCTCTTGCTAATTTGCTCAGTGGAAAGAGTGTTGACCTGCGATTGAAGAGTTGATTCCAATCAAAGGCACATGCCTGGGTTGCAGGCTTGATCACCAGTAGGGGCAGCAGGAGGCAGCCAATAAATGATTCTCTCTCATCACTAATGTTTCTATCTCTCCCTCTACCTTCCTCTCTGAAATAAATTAAAATATGTTTTTTAAAAAGAACAAAGTAGAGCCCTGCTGGTGTGGTTCAGTTGTTGACCCATGAACCAGGAGGTCATAGTTCAATTCCTGATAAGAGCACATGCTCAGATTTTGGGCTCAATCCTGAGTAGGGGGCATACAGGAAGCAACCAATTGATAATTCTCATCATTGATGTTTCTTTCTCTCCCTCTCTCTTCCACTCTTTGTAATCAATAAAAACATTTTTTAAAAAATGAGTAAGACAGAAACCACAATGTCTTTTGTAACTTAACCTCAGAGGTACCATGTTAATTTAGCTGCATTTTATTAGTCACACAGATAAATGCAGGAGGCAACCACATGTTATGAATACTAAAAGGTGGGTATCATTATTGGCCATCTTGGAGGTAGTCCATCACAATCCAGAAAGAATATAGGAGACCTTCAAGATTATCTTCCAACTGACTAATAAACACGAAATAGCAAAATTTTGAAACTCAAATAGAAAATATGGTTTTGGAGATTTAAAATGGTGATAGAGTAAGTGGATAATGCATGGACATGTTCCCAGGAACAAATTGGAATTACAACTAAAATACAGAAAAAACTGAATAATCAACAGAAAACTCGCTGGAGAGCATCCTGATACCCTAGGACAAAGTGGAGACAGCATAGAGACTGATAGGAGGAGAGGAAGCATGAAAGGGCTGGCCAGGTGCCCACAGACAGCAAGTGAAGTTCCCGAGATAGACCTCAGCTATGGGAGTTGCCATTGAGAATTCTGGGGTCTAATCCCCAAGCTGGGCCCCCAACAGAGAGCACCAGAACTGAGAACGGTATCCACATAACATCTGGCTGTGAGAAGCAGAGTGGTTGCCGTCTGTCAGGGAGTGATGGATGGAAATTCAGGAACCCTCTTAAAGGGCCCTGGCTACCTTGTGCTCCAGCAGAGAGAGGGCAGAGTGGACTTGAGTTGTGCAAACAGA